TTTAAATCTAAGGTTGAACAATTTATCTTATTTTAAAAATTTTTAAAGTTCCTCACAATTATTTTATTAACACGAAAATTCAAAGTTCTCAATAATTCCCTTATTTAATTTAACACGAATAATTTTTTTACTTATATAATATATACTATGGTCATATAATATACCATAGGAGACGAACAACGATTTTATTAATCTAAATACTCACAACAACACGGCGGGTACTGCGGGTGCTTCCATTTGCTCGGTTGAAATGTTGATTGTAGTAGGGTGTTATGTAGTTGTACAGGATTCTTCTCGGAGTTGTTGGCAGGTGATCAGTCTTCCAACGGTGATCCAGTGATGGATTTCCCTCCTTGATCGAATTTAGAAGATGAAAATTTTTCAAAAAATTTTTCGAAAATTTCGAAAAATTTTTTAAAGTGTTCTTCGGGTTTCTTCTAAGTATCTTTTGAGACACCCTGTCCACAGCGCCAATTTGTAACGTGCCCTACAGCGTTACTTGTTGATGTGGAAGCAATAATTGAACAATAACCTCTTTTGATTGTATTTATTGTATTTATTTTATAAACAGTTTTATGGAATTTATCCTAAGTCCAAATAATAAACTAAAAGCGAGTTGTGACTATGAGTATTTAGTTGTGTGACTGTCGAAGTTGAGGTTGGTTGCTCGTCTGATGAACGCTTGTCCATCAGCTCTCCTCGATGGGTCGGTCCAGTCCCTTCCACAGATTCACATGACCACACATGGTCATCCTGCGGTTAGGCCTATCGTGGGATTGTCACACGGTCCTCGTTCTGGCTAGTTGTGGTGTCATTTAATATAACAGCACAAATCCTAATCTACAGTATTTTAGAATTATTTATATACGTAGTCATATATCTATTGCCGCGCGCCGTTCATGGTCATGAGCATTATTAGCTTCGCGCTGTATATATGATGTCGTCGCTCCACTACACACGTACTGTATACATGGTGCCAGCGACATTATTATTATTACTATTATTAACTTTTACGCGAGCAACGCTCGCGTATTACTATTATATTATATTTACGTGGCGCGTCTATTATATTATGATTACGTACATAATATTAGAATGAGATTTATATTGTTAAATAGTTATTTAGGAAATAGTCACAGCTCGCTACAATAACATAATAATCAGGGTTGGGATTTTATACCACTTAAAATTGCACAAATATGCGTTATAATATTACCTTAAATATCGCTAAATATGCGCTAAAAATATCCAATAAAAAACAACAAAATAAGCAAAAAAAGGAAATGTATTAATTAATAATTTTTTAATCACTTACAAACCTATGGCTTTAAAGACTTTGTGGATGCTATTGAGAGTTCTAAAAAAATGGCATAATTGGAAAGACAATAAGTCCCAAATAAAAACAAATAGAGTATTATTAAAAGATGTGGTTGCATTGAGAGCTGAAAGAGGCAAATGTAATATTTATTACAAGACTGACATTACCAATAATTTTTACCAGGAACTAGACTTTTTAAATAAATCTCATCTTAAAAAAACTCCACTGCCACCTTCTAAGACTACACCGTGCGGTATTCATGAAAACAAAAGGGAGGAACATATTGACAGATTAAAACAAGTTCTTCCAGATAACAGAAAAACATTTTGGAAAAATTTGCCCGTCAACTTTACTTAACTTTGTAAGTCTGAAATGTTATATTTATTTTTAATTTTTAAGTTTGAATAATATGAGTTCTTTTTTTATATGCTGTTAACTTTAATAAATAAGACATTTTTTCTATTGGATATTGTAACTATACAATGTTATTTCTATTACAAAAGTATAATAATTATATTATTATTTGTTTATGATATTAAACTATTTCAAGATAGAAATGTAATGTAAAAATATATTTTTAAGTTTTAATAATATGATTTTTTTGTATGATGTTAACTTTATTAAGTTGCTTAACCATTTCTGCTTAACCGCTTTGTTTTGATTTACATATCAATATGGCTGTTGTCCATTTCAATATCATTTTAATAGCTTTTATAAATTATTAAATTCTATGGTAGTCTATGAATTATAAACATATTTAAAAAAGTAATATAATTCAGTAATTTTTTTTTCTTCATATTATAAGTATTAATCATCATCAATAGAAAAATAAATTGTAGTTAAAAACATTCAATGTACAACTAGCATCAAAATTAAATGTAATGGAGATACTGCATTTGTAAAAATTAACTTTTTATTTAGATATGTATTGTCATACTAAAGTAAAATGCAGTATCTCCTAAAAAGTCAATTTAAAGGTCAAAATAATCAATTAATTTAAAAAATAATAACAATTATACACAGTATGCTGATTTCACGTATAAAGTGAAAAAAAAAATTATGAAATCTGATTATTTTAAGGTAAAAAATGATGAAATCTAAAAACTTATTTTCCCAATATTTTGGTTTTTGGAGATACTGCCTTTCTCTTTAGGAGGGCAGTAAGGTAGTTACTTAAGATTTGAAATAATTTAGTCACTCTGGTTAGAATCCAAATGAATAGTCTATACTCTATACAACGTATTCAACGCTCGTTCGTTGAGAATCGGCGATTAATAAACGTAGTAGAAATCGACAAAGAAACCCAACAAAATCAGCAGATAACAAAAATTAGATTTTAAAACCAAATACCTAATACGAAATTATCGTAATAATACGATTGACAAAAATCCAAAAACAATTTTACTAAAATATAATTTCATAAAATATGACCGATTTTGATTCAAAACAGGTAAAAATGCAAAAAAATCTCAAAAGTCCAAAAAAAGCACTGAAAACTAAAAAAATCGTAAAATATGCAAAAATAGCAAAATAAAATTTTTAATTTGAGTTCTATGTACTTATCACGAAACAAATGTTTAGCTTACTCTGATATTTTTTAAGCATTTCATACGAAATATGCAAATGCTATAAAATCCCAACCCTGATAATAATATAGTTCTATAATATTTCTGTGAGTTTTCAATAACTATATCTAAGTATCATAACTATTATTATGAATTATCATTTACACATAGTCAGCTATGTCATAAAGCAGCTACTATGACCCGCGATTACGCACGTGCCATGAGAGCGTTGAAGGTACAGTAATTTCAGATAATTTGAACAATAAAAGATAATATGCACAGCTAAATTTAAAATCAAACCCCTATGTCTGTAATAGTCTTTATGTTACTCATCAGTAGTATAAAAAGAGCGGTTCTGATGCCTACTCCCTACTCACTACTCCCCTCATCCCATTATCCCATTATCCTTGCATTATCCCCTCATCATCATCACTCATCATACCGCCCGCACTCGCACTCGCACCCACAACCACAACACACAACCGCATCCTCATCCCTCACCCCTCATCCATATCACTCATCACACCGCCCGCTGCTCGCGTCGAGCGTTAGTTATATTATTGTTATCACTGTTATCACTGTTATCATATTATTTTCGTTATCGTATTTTATCACATGTTACGTCCGAAAATAAGCTAAAAATTTTTTTCCGGACCGGGATTCGAACCCGAGTCCGTCGGTTTGGCCAGCGATCACAGTACCACTGCGCCACTCCGACACATATACTTTATATTAAGAACTTGCCATATTTAACGGGTACATAAAACTGCAAAAGAAACATTTAATAATAGCTTGCAGCTGCGTATTAGGAGCCAATTAATGAAAGGATGGAATAGACATCCGTTCGCACGCTCACCGAACAATCAATAAATGACCTATAGTATATCGAATAGAAGATACCAATTAATGAAAAATACATTAACCCTAATAGCCTACTTATTGTCATAGCCAGGATGTCTTAATAGCCACCTTAATAATAGATTGCAGCTGCGCGTATTGTCATTAGTAAATCCATAGTATATCGAATAGAAGATACCAATTAATGAAAAATACATTAACCCTAATAGCCTAATTATTGTCATAGCCAGGATGTCTTAATAGCCACCTTAATAATAGATTGCAGCTGCGCGTATTGTCATTAGTAAATCCATAGTATATCGAATAGAAGATACCAATTAATGAAAAATACATTAACCCTAATAGCCTACTTATTGTCATAGCCAGGATGTCTTAATAGCCACCTCTAATAATAATACAAGTATCTGCCATATCGAAGAAGGGACAATTCACACGGTTATTATACTATGCTGAAACAACTGGCACTTCTCTTTAGTCCGTCTACTGCGTTAAACCAGTGTACACGTACCTACACGCGCTGACTTTAAAGAATTTACAGTGTTTTAAAATTTTTAAAGTGTTTATTCTAAGTGTTTATTATATCAAGTGTATATACTTAATATTTTTCCTTTATTTTATTTATACTTTATAAATTTAATAATGTTTAAATGCGAACAATGTGTATCAACCTTTACACGAAAAGACAATTTGACTGCCCACCAAAAGAAGCACGATGGTGTACGGTTTCCGTGTACTATATGTAGTAAATCATTCGATAAAAAATCAAATCTCAATAGACATATAAAAAATGTTCATAGTATGTATATTTTATATATATTATTATATTAAAATAAATTATTGTATAACAAAAATATCTTTAATAATTAGATATAACTCACAATCATCCACCTCGCAAATATACTATAAAGTCAACTCCGCAAACCAAAGTATCAAACACACAGGGAGAACCATCAAACCAGTGTCAAACTATTCAAAATGTATGTAGTATGTTGAACAATGATGATGTGTGTAAGGAGGTACTTATGGAATTTGAAAACGTGGGTTTGGATGAAACTTTACAAGGTTAGTTTTATTTTTAATATCACAGACTGAATATTAACCTAAGGATTTAGTTATATTTTAATAACATGAACAGAGTAAAAGTTAATTAGTTTTCAAAATGTATATAGATTGTTATTTAGCGATAGTTTTATACATATATTTTTTTTTTTTTTTTTTTTTTTTTAAGATTCTTATACGACTGTAGTCAATGGTAAACGCATTTCCACCGCTAATTCTACTTCAGCTGTTAAGGCGGAAAAAGTGCGTATGGAACTGGTTAGATCCCCGGGTCTTATAGAAATTTCAACTTCAGCTAACCGTAAAATAGTATGGTATTACGCTAAAAATATTGATAAAGTTGAAAATTATAATATATTTCTAAACTCATTGAAATCCGATCTAATCGATATACTGAAAGCACATGTTAAGAAAAACGCTATCAAATTTAATTTGAAACTAGAAGCCACTTATAATAGACCGCGTGTGGAAAATTCCTCGGAAAATCGCGCATTCAAAACATCTGCAGTCGAGTTGTTTAGAGAGTCGGATATATCAGCTATTGTCGAGGAATCTTTTACAAAATTATTAACGGAAGAAGAGACTTATACGGGTAGAGGAAGTGGATTCACACTAGAAGCTATAGATGGATTATTATTAGGGGTGTATAAATATACACCAATGTCAGGTTCATCTTATATATCCTTACCAGATAGTATCGACAGAAAAAGGGGTACAATCAATCCACAAAATACAGATCAACAATGCTTCAAGTGGGCTATATTAGCCAAGCATGTGTCAGTGCAAACGAAATGTCGTATAGGTGAAAACCATCGCAAGCACGAGGGGAAATATAATTTCGATTGTATCTCATTTCCAACACCGTTATCTGATATAAAAATATTTGAAAAAAATAATCCATTCGTCTCCATCAATATTTTTGGTATTGAAAAACAATTCCAACCGCCGAAAAAGTTTCCAACATATGAGGTTTTCCCACTCAGAGTTGTAGATGATGAAAAACGAGATCACTTTGATCTATTATTAGTGACGGAAAACGATAATACACATTACGTATATATATCTAATTTTTCAAGACTCGTTCGATCTCAAAAAACTAGATATGAAGGAAAATTATTATTTTGTAAACGATGTTTTACGAGTTTTGACTCCAGACCTCGAAAATATCAATTGTGTGGACAGGCTGCGTTAGACCAACATAAACTTATATGTGGTTTACATAAACCAATATTACCAGTTATGCCGGCAGAAGGGGATTGTCTAGAGTTTGATGCGTGGAGAAACACGGAACGACATCCCATCGTTATATATGCTGACTTCGAAGCGCTACTATTGAAGGCTGATGGTGAAAAGAAGGGGAAAAACACAGACATAATTCATAAGCATGAGCCTATGAGTTTCGGTATTTTCGTTAAGGCTTCCAATAACGTTCCATTAAGTCTGCTCGAAGATTACGACATACCGACTAAACCTATTATTTATCGTGGTAGTGAGGAACGTGGGGATGTTGCGGCACGTTTCGTGGAAATGGTTTCTGAAATATCGTTAAAGATAGAGAAATTGTTAAAAACAAACGTAATGATAAATATGAGTGCACATGACAGAGTGGTTCACGAGGCGGCGACACACTGTAACCTATGTTGTATAAAGTTTACACCACCTCATGAGATCCAACATCGAAAAACAGCTGACCACTGTCACCTTTCTGGAAAATATCGACAGGCTCTTTGCAATACGTGTAACCAGAAACTACAAACACCTGTATTTGTACCGTGTTTCCTACATAACCTATCAAACTATGATGCTCATTTCATAGTGACAGAGTTAGGATATGATACGCAGAGGATCACGGTTATACCCAACAGCGAGGAGAAG